GGTACTGAGCTGGTCCTAGCCATGATACTTTAAGAGCTTCCCCTCCTCCCCTCTTTCCCTCTCCCTCCATCTCTTGCTCTCAGCATTTTCTGAAGCAGCACTGAAAGCCTCCAAGTGTCTTTACAAGGTGTGATTTAAAAAAAAAGCACTGTGAAGCTGCCGCCAAGTGCCATCCAACAGAAAGGCAGATTTGTAAAAGTAGTGTGGTGGGCTCTCATCCACTGTATTCACCAGATCTGGCATGGTGTCATTTCTGGCTCCTTCCCAGAGTCAAAATGACCATAAAAGGTAAACATTTTGAATTGATTCAGGACATAGAGGCAGCTGTGACGGGACAAGTAAAGACTGAATCTCAAGCTGCAGTTCAGATAGATCAGTGTTTCATGGCTGTGTGGGGCTGGGGAGAGAGAACACAGTGACAAGAGATGGGCTTTGGGTATGGGAGGGGAAGAAGGGATGGTACCACATGCCACGTGTGTGACATCCAGATTCAGTTCTGGTGTGCTACAATTGAAATTTATGTGTATATTAGCTTTCAGTTGTTGCTATAAAAAATTGCTATGAATTTAGTAACTTAAAGTGAAAGAGGGCTGGTGAGATGGCTCAGTGGTCTAAAGCACCTACTTAGAACAAGCTAAGCTAAGCAAAGCACAGGGACCGCGGTTCAATCCCCCAGCACCACATGCCAGCCAGCCCCGCCCCTGGTGGGCTGAGCTGGCCACAGGCACACACAAATAAATAAATAAATAAATAAACAAAATAAATAAATAAATATAAAAAAAAATAAAGTGAAAGAAACCCATTGTCCTGTGCTGCTGCCATAGGGCACAACTCCAAAATGGGTCTTTGGCTGCTAGAAATCAAGTTGCCGCGGTGCTGGTTTCTTCTGGGTGTGAAAGACGGCCTGTTTCTTGCTCTTTCCAGTCCTAGGTTGCTCGTATTCTTTGTCGCAGTAGTCTCTTTCTTCTCCATCCTTCAAATCGGTAGTATAGCCCAATCAGTAGTGTAGCGTCCTCAGCCCTGCCCTGTCTCCACATCCTGTATTCGGGGGATTGAACTTGGGAACTTGCATTTGCCAGGAAGGCGCTTATGTTGCTGAGCTATATCCCTAGCCCTCTGAGTCCTATATTCTGTCCTCTGATGCTGCCCTTTCAGTCTCCTCCCACAAGATCCCTTGTGATTTCGCTGGGCCTACCCGGATTGCTCAGAATATACTCCCCATTTCAGCATCTAGACAGCTAAGCACATCTGCACAGGTGCTTCGGCTTTGTAACATAGCATGGTCACATGTTCCTGCGCTGAAATACGAACCTCCCTGGGAGGCTGTCATTTCTGTTGCTAAATAAAGCGACACTGTTCCATGGGATAGCCTGGGCATATACATCATGCCTAGGGGACTTCCTTTTCTTTTTTGCGGTACTGGGGATTGAACTCAGGACTCTGCGCTTGCCAAGCAAGCACTTAGTCTACTGAGCTATCTTCCCCAGCCCTCCTAGGGGGCTTTCTAAGGACCCTGGTGCACAGCTTCTTGGTGTGCACATCATGGGTCCTCTTTGGCTCGGGCCCAAGGGGGCTTAGGACAGGCAGAATGGATGAGTGGGAAGCAGGAGGATGCTGTGTGCGAGCCCCCCATCCCCGGACAGCTCCACACGTATCACAGATACTTTGGGGAGGGGTTGCTCTGTGACTTTCACTGTCTTCATCTCCTCCTCGCAATGCACTAGCTGTTGGAAGTACCCGAAAAATACCTTCTCACAACGTGCTGGGAGATACATGTGCATCTTATCTTAAACAGATAACAAAAGCTACAGGTACAAGGCAATAGGAACACAGGAAAAATGGACCAAATTCCACAAGGAAGATGGTCGGCTGTCAGCGTTCCTGTGTACCTTGGAATATGCAATTAAATGGAACATGTTTCCTTTTTGAAAAGTGTTTGCTTGTACATGGCTTTATGTCCTTAGTCCCCCTCCCAGGTAAAAGCTGCACACGTTCTATTAAGAAAAAAATGAAGTATTTGAGCAGACGCACATCCAGTAGTGTGGGATTTTTCCTTTGGACCCAACTGGAGGCACTAGCCTTGGGCTCTAGGCTACATCTTCCCCTTCCTATAAGGCTGTTCTGTTTTCCTGCCCATAACCCTTTTCCCTCTTGGCCTTCTGGTACAGGAGGTCCCTGCCCTCCACACATCCTTGTCCAGGTGCTGCTTTGAGGCATTCCATGTATGTTGCATGTTTCTCTGCAGCTGGTTTTTCCACGTTAGCATCATATTCCTGTTTTGCCAGCTAAAGAGCCAGGGTGTGACTTGAGATTGAGTTATTCTTCTCTGAAAGCATGAGCACCATGTTACTCTATTCTGTGGAGGAGGGACAGTGGGTGTTACATTTACCGCCATACCTAGCGCAGTGCTACATAGCACGGTGCGTTTCTCACTGTAGAGGGTGAATGGGTTTCTATTGTAATGGGAATGGAAGAGGGAGATTTAGGGGTCTTGGACTTTGGCCTTGGACATTCCCAAAGGCATGTGGGATTGCACTGTCTCCTTCCTGTCTCCTGCTTGGTTGTTGTTCAGGTCTGTGCTTTATGGCTAGTCTCTTGCACAGACTATAGCTTTGTCCTTATTGAGCTGGGTTTTTTTGTTTGTTTGTTTTTTTTTTTTTTTTTTTTTTTTGAGACAGTTTTGATATAGAGGAAATGAAACTCCCAACCTAAAAGGTACCTGGGACGAGTTCACATTCTCTAAAACGAGATTAAGAGCAGAGTATTTATTGGGGGAAAGAAAGCTTCTGTCCAAGAGAGGGGCAGAAGAGGGATCTGAGTGGGTTGCCCCAGGGGAAGCTGTCTCTTCCAGTGATTTTTATGGAGTAAAACCATGCAGTGAGGTGGGTCTAAAGTGGAGAACATGGCAACTCACTTAGGTGGGCATGAGGTGGTACAAAACTGGTTAACCAATGAGATTACAAGCACCATTGCTCAGGTAAAATTGATTAAATCCAGTACCAAATGAGGAAGCGAGTCATGTAGCCAGTGCACATGAATATGTGACAGGGTCTCTTCCTGTTGAGGGTTGGGTGAGTGACTTTTAGGGCTCTTTCAAGGTGATTGATACCTCTTTAGAGTATCAATCCCTGATGCCTTTCCTAGGGAAGTATGTGGCTGTATTTGTTTATTTTTTTGTCTTGGGGCCTGGCCCACAGTGGGGGGAGTGTCTGTCTCTTCCAAATACGCAAAGTCATCTTGTCTTCCGTAATTTGTCTCCTTGAGGGCCTGGCCCTGTCTGCCTGCCTATAATAATACTATCTAATTTAGCTGCCTACAATAGTCTCACTAGGTAGCTCAGGCTGGCTTCAGATTTAGGGTGGTCCTCCTGCTTCAGCTTGGGATTTCACCTGTGTTCCACCATCCCCGGCTGCTTTTAAGAATTTTAATAAAGGAAGAGCACTTTGCAAAGTTTCAGTTTGGGTGAAGTCTTTTGGCATCTTACAGATAAGTGAAAGAAAGGTGAGAGGAGGAAGTTGAGCCAGGAAGAAAGGGAGTCCCAACAGATCCAGGGCTTGGGCACCAGAGGGTTTAGTTTTTTTTTTTTCTTGGTGGAACCAGGGATTGAACTCAGGCCCTTGAGCTTGCCAGGCAAGTGCTCATTCTACTGAGCTATGACCCTGGCTCCAGTTTAGGTTTTATATCACTGCTTAGTTATCCCTCACCATAGCATGGGGTGTGTGCATGCCTGTGTCTCTTTTTGCATAGCTTTGCCTTCCCAAGGCCCATGTGTGTCTGGGCTCAGGGATGTGGTTTCAGTGGGTGGGCCTGGCTTCGGGATGAGCAGCATAAACACCCTTGTAGCATATGGATGTGATGGGGTTGTGGGGTGAAACCCTGAGCCCCATCGTCAGTGTTCTCCACATTGTGCCTCAGTGTAACCATTGCCCATTAAATACCAGGCTGCCAGCAGATGGACACGCCCCCCCCCATCCTCCTCGAGTGGAAACTTTAGCTGTGTGGTTAGAATACTTTCCCATCATTTAGCACTTCAGAATTAACATATTTTGGAGAGTTCTGCAATTAATATGGAATGGCACATTTGCAGATTGTTAGAGAAACAGTTAAATAGGAGTCAGCAGAGCTGTGTAGCTGGCATTCCCATGACGGATAAGCAGTGGGTGGGGAGAAGGCGGGGTAGCAGGAGGCTTCAGTTGCTGCCTGTATGTGGACGCTGTAATTGGAAGGGGAAGCCTGGCCCCGTCCTTACCTCCTACCTATTAAGAGTGCAGGTGGTTAATCACCACCTCACCAAAAGTTAAGAGTTCCACCTTTTAAAGTCTTGATCTTTTTCTTTTATGACCCCACCCTGAGTATCCCAAACACAGGTATGGATAAATGAAAAATTTTCTCATTAAAAGTAATGGCTTAAGGGGGCCGGGGAGTTGGCTCAGTGGAATAAGCGCTTCCCTGGCAAGTGCAAGGGCCTGAGTTCAATCCCTGGTCTCCCCTCCCCCCCCCCAAAAAAAAAAAAAAAGTAACGGCTTATTCCCACAGTCAAAATTTTTAGTCTTGTAATGAGAAATTGGTTTCCTTCCACTTGAGGAGTTGCATATCTCTCCTGCCTTAATAGAGGTCTGGATGAGGGTGTCTGGTAGGCGAATTTTATAACCAGTCAGTGTTCAATGCAGATCTGGTTGGAAGGGCTCCAGCTGGCTGACCCGGTTTCTCCCAATTTTAACTACGAATGACTTCTTTGGCTCCTAAACACAGAACAGCCTGCTCCTGTTGTCTTGGGGGGCAGTGATCCCCTGATCTCTATGGCCTGGAAGTTGAATGTCTTGGGCTGGAGGGTGTTTGGGGCATCAGGGAACTGGTGGGAAGAGATACAAGTGCTGCTCCTGGACTCGCCCCCACCCTCGTCTCCGAAGCCAGCATCGCCTGTGTTTAGAGTCCAGAGGGTTTGTGCTGAAAGAATAAATTGGCTCCACTGTGCATCATGTTCTCTTGTTTTCCCGCAGGGAGTGGGACCAGCCAGCAGGAACAGCGGGCTGAACAACATCACTTTCAGATATGACAGTAAGTAACGGCCTGACTGCGAAGAGCCGAGGCCTTTCTGTAGCCTACAGCTTATTTGGTTGTGCTTAATCAAGGACACAGCGGCAGGTCCTGAGGCTGAAGAATTTTCTGAGTCTATTCAGGTTTGTCAGTAGCTAAAGCAACTCACTCTTGATTAAGCTAAGCCACTGACCTATTTGGGAGCTTGAGTAGGTCAAGTGTCTTTCATAGGTCAGGTGTTCAGAAAAGTAGCTGTGAAGCAGCCTTAAGAACACACACATACCTGGAGGGCCCGCAGGGGACAGAGGAACAAAGCTGCCCAAATGCAGGGTGCTGGGGAGGCAGTAAGTGGCAGGCCCGGGTAGCTTGTTTGGCTTGAGAGGAGCACTGATTTCTGGATTCAAGACTGTGGGCTTGAGGAATCCCCACTGAACGTAGCCAGATGTGGCTTCCAAGAATAGCTGGAAAGTTGCCTTTTGTGTGTGTGATTTTTTTTTTTTTTTTTTTTAAAGTATAGTGGTACTTTGGTTCACCAACTTGGTTTATGATTTTGTGGGGGAGATGGCTATGGTTGTTTTTGTCACCTGCTGCAGAGGAGTTTGTGAAGGGAAGCAAAATTTTGTCAAATACTTCTGTTTGAGAACTGAATTGTTTGTGAGCAGAAGTGTTTGTGAACTGAGGTTTTACTGTATTGACATTGTATTTAAATTTTTTCTTTTCTTTTCTTTTCTTTTTTTTTTTTGCGGAACCGGGGATTGAACTCAGGCCCTTGCGCTTGCCGGGTAAGCGCTTATTCCACTGAGCCATCTCTCTGGCCCTGTATTTAAAATTTTTCACACGTACAGAGTGGCCAACTCGCTCTTTGCTCAGATGGGCTTACGGGTTTCTAGTTAGCGTGTCTGACTTGGGCCTAGGTACTAACCCCACCTATCAGGTGTGTGTGCAGGTGACTTGACTTTGCTCCAAATGAAAATTATTGGGCTGATGGCATTACTTTAGTAGAGTACTTGCTTAGCATGCAGGCAAGACCCTGGCCTTGATTGCTAGCACTGGGGGTAAAAAAACAGAAAAACCCAAAAAGATGAGTTTTCTTTTAGCATTATTTTGAGGCCTAAGTGATGTGATGCTCACACTTGCTCATCATCCTGGTACCTCATCTACTTTGAGTGCTCAGAGAAATCTAGCTATTGATGCTAGAAGTTAGTCCAACAGCAGTTGAATAATATCAGCATCCTTTTGTGCCCTTTCTCTGAAGAAAATGTGAACCTTTTGTCTCTGACTGAATTGTTTTCTAAGAAAACAGTTAAGGTCCATTTTCTGTTTAAGTTTGTAGGATCTCCTTTAAGTATCTGGTTTCATTCAAGAGGAGGGGGAGCCCCCTGGAATGATCTCTGCTATGACAGAGCGTATCTGTCAACACTCACTAGAGAAACAGATTTTGTGTGTGTGTGGTGCTGGGGATTGAACTCAGGGCCTCGTGTATGCCAAAAAAGCGCTCTACTACTGTGCCATGTCCCCAGCCCGAGAAACAGATTCAATATAAGACGTGTAACCTTATAAAGATTTATAAGGTAGGCTTGCAATGGCCCCTGGCAGTCAGGTGTGGAAGAGTGTGGACGTGCCATCTGCGCTGTGGCCCGCTGGAGATCCCAAGGATCTTGCCAGAGTCTGGCGCTCACTGCAGGGTCTGCAGCGAGTCTGTGTCAGGAGGCTAGAGGGTCTGCACCAGAAGCCAGCAGATGGACCTCCAAGGGGAGTGGGAGGAAGAAGCAAGGCCACCTTTTGTTCTGTTTTCCTTTTTAAATTTCATTGAGGCTATAAGCCTATTGGTTGGTGCCACTCATACTCCCCACTTCAGTAAATCCCGTTCAGTCATACCCAGAACTATATAGTAAGCTAATCAGGGGATTGCAGTCCACAAAAGAGTTAACTAGGTTATGGCTGTAATATAACCATTTTAAGATATAATTATGTGTGTCAAATTCATACCACCATTGCTAGCAAGGCTGTTTTTTTTTGGGGGGGGGTGTGCAGAACTAGGGATTGAACTCAGGCTCTTGTGATTGCCAGGCAAGCGCTTATTCTACTGAGCCATCTCCCCGGCCCCTAGCAAGGCTTTTTTGAGTCAGGACTTAAACATGAGTTCGGGCAGTTCACTGTGCTGTGTGTATGTGCTGGGTAAACGCTGCGATGGTTAGGAAAGATTGGCAGGTCCACGACGCAGTGTTCAGCTAAGTAAAGACATGTGTAAGGGGACTTTCTTTGAGTGAGAAAGTTAATTTCTGATACACGCCTTCAGTCTTTGCAGATCTTGTATTACATTCAAGAGTTCAAAATTTTCCGGTCAGCTGCAAACAAGCATTTGTCTCTAACTTATGGGTTTTCTGGGAAAAGAACCTATACCTGCACAACTTCAAATTTATCATATTGTTGTTTTAATTGTACTAAGTTTTGTGGCCCTCATGCCTATGCCTGTCTCTTCTTACTCCTCTCTTTATTCTTAATTCTACAGTGTTTAATTAGAATTTAATTTATAGCTCACATCGGCTCCTGAGACGTTTGAAGCTCGGTTGCGTTTTGGCAAAATGACATTTGGGCATAAAATTTTTTGTAACCAGAATCCAAAAGTTTAGACTTGTTAATAATTAAATGCAGGCTGTGTAAAAACTTACAGTGTTTCCCATTGAAAAAGATATTTTTGGGGCTGGTGAGATGGCTCAGTGGCCTAAATCACCTACTTAGAACAAGCTTAGCAAAGCACAGGGACCGCGGTTCAATCCCCCAGCACCACATGCCAGCCAGCCCCGCCCCCTGGTGGACTGAGCTGGCCACACCCACACACACACACACAAATAAATAAAATAAAAATTAAAAAAAAAAAAAAGATATTTTTCTTCTATAAGAAGATCGTTTTGGGGCTGGGGAGATGGTTCAGTGGAATAAGCGCTTCCCTGGCAAGCGCAAGAGCCTGAGTTCAATCCCTGGTTCCACCAAAAAAAAAAAAAAAAGTTCCTTTTATTGTTCAACTGACTGGTTCCGAGTCCTACTTGAAATAACTAAGAACCAATTACCAGGTTTTCACCGTTACCTACAAAGTCTTATTTTTTTATTCTTTTGTCATTTAATGTTATAAAGAAAATGTCTTACTATCAAGTCATAACTGAATTCCGTAAGTCTTTTTGCCTCCTTCTGCCCAGTTTCTTCACTCAGATCATGTCTGAGTAGGTTATAATACCTTTTTTTTTTTTTTTAAATTCCTAGGCTTTGTGTTTGCATAATTGTATTTACAGAAAACCAAAGAGTGTTAATTTTGGCATTAGGAATGAACAAAGACCCGGATGTGGCGGCACACACCTGTAGCCTCTGCACTTGGGAGGGTGACGGAAGAGGATTGCACATTTGAGGCCAGCCTGGACTACATAGTGAGACCCTGTTAAAGAGAAAGAAAGAACAAAAAGAAAGAAAACCATAGTTTGCTCTTATTTATGCAGCTTTTTGGAGCTAAATCAAAGGTTTCTCTTACAGTATAGATCTCAATAGATGAAAATACTGTAACTTCACAAGTAGGATAGTGTCTTGTCTTTTAGTGTTAGGAAGCTGGTCTCCAAACTTTTGCAGGCAGAGCACTTCTGACCCAGCTTATGCTGGTAAGTGTAAGGCACAAGTGCAGGGAGCCATCGAGGCTGCTTGTCTTGGTGCTATGCTTGGTCTGGTCAGTAGTGGGCGCCCAAGTCTCTGACCTCTCTAGGCCTCACTTGTATAGCACCAGATACTTAATTTTCTTTCTAATCCAAAAATCTCTTCTATACCCAGAGAGCATATACTGGTTGCTTTGAAAGTGAATTATCTCTCTGGCTTACTAGAGAATTTGCCTAAATGTTTTTACATTGTTCTTACATTCTTTGTGGTTTTCCTTTGTCTCCAATAAACTTTTTTGTGTTGGTGGGAGGTGGGTGGGTGGGGGCTCCTTGGGATTGAACCAAGGCTTTTGTGTTCAACTACATCCCAATCCTGTTTTATTTTGAAACAGGGTCTCAATAAATTGCCCAGGCTGGGTTTGAACTTGAATTTTCCTGTCTCAGCTTCCCAGACTGCTGGAACTACAGGAATGTGCCACCAGAGTCAGCCTTCATGAATATTTTACTTATAAAAACTGGGAATTTAGGAGTATAGTTTATGGGGAGAAAAATGCATCCAATTCACTGAGCTGCTCAGAAAATAACCTGTGATAGTTCACCTCAAAGAAAAAAAAAATCTAAACCAAAAAACCCTTGCAGGTTTGGACCTTGGGTGATCTTTTGCAGCAGATAATGCAGAGGGTGTTCATATCAGTCGTGGTGATGCACGCCTGTAATCCCAGCACTGGGAGGCTGAGGCAGGAAGATGGCTGTGAGTTCCAAGCCAGTCTAGGTTACATAAGTGAGTTCAAGGCCAGCCTTCACTACACCGTGAGACACTAAAAGAGGAGATGAGGAAGGAGAAGGAGAGGGTAGGGTGTTCAGGTAGAATCACTGAGAGAGATGGTGAAGCACTGGCATGAAAATGATGAGTTGGTGTCTGCTGGATATTCCTGATAAATAGTTCTCCCTGCAAGACAGCTAAATAAGTTGTCGACACACTCCTGTAATCCTAGCAGTGAGGAGGCTAAGGCAGGAGGATTGTTGCAAGTTCGAGGCCAGTCTGAACTACATAGCGAGACCTTGTCTCAAAAAATGGAAAAAGATGGCCAAATAGCTCACGACTGTTGTCTGAGCCCAGACTGATTCTAGCCACAAGCTGCTGGCACGTAGAGACTTGGAGGGTCTCTGTGGGTCCCCTTTAAGGATCTCTAAGTTAGGCAGTATCAAGTGCCCACAGCTGCTTGTATATTATGGCTGTACTGATAGGTGACAGTGAGCAGTGCTCATACAAAAATCAAAGAAAGGGGATGGCTTTGTTTCGGAGCAGGCAGGGGCTTTTTTTTTTTTTTTTTTTTTAGGTGATTATCTATATAGTCTAGGCTGGCCTCAAACTTGCATTGATCCTCCTGCCTCAGTCTTCCAAGTGCTGGAATTACAGGCGGGGGCTTTTGGATTTAGTTGGCCATGTGCCTGTCTTTGATGACACATGGTCTTCCAGAACAAAGGTTTTGCTTTTGGGGATGCTCTTAGCAGCCTCATCCTTAAGTTTCTATCATGTTCAGGGTGAGGAGTCCCTGTTCAGTGGATTCACATCTGTGGGTGTCTTGCCTGTTAGTTACCTTGCCTTCTAGGTTTCATCTAAAGACAAATAGTCCCAAATTATTTAGCAGTGATTTCTTCCAAATTATTTAATAAGTAAAAGTGTTTGTTTGGTTTGGTTTGGTTTTGAGACAGGGTCTTGCCGTATTGTGCAGACTGGCCTTGAAGACACTAAGGAGCCCAGATTTGTGTCAAACTCGTGCTGATAGCCCTGCGCCAGCCTCCTGAGTGCTGAGACTACAGGTGTGCCCTGCCACACCCAGCTCATATTTGGGCTTTTCAAACACATGTCTTGAAACAGAATGGATATGGCCACTCCAGACATGCTCCGTGGCATTTAATGAGAGGACTTTGAAACGTAAATTATTCTTACTGTCTCAATTCTGCAGACTGTACCACCTACGTGAATCCGGTGGGGAAGCACATGATCGCCGATGCCCAGAACATCACCATCAGCCAGTACGCGTGCCATGACCAAGTGGCAGTCACCATTCTTTGGTCCCCAGGGGCCCTTGGTAAGTGGTCAAAAATCAAGTTACACCAAAAAAGAAACAAGGCTTGGAGCCAGGTGTGGTGGTATACACCGGTAATCTCAGCACTCAGGAGGCTGAGGCAAGAGATCCAGGCCAGTCAGGGCTCCACGGTGAGTTCAAGGTTAGCCTGGACTACAGAGTGAGAGCCTTTCTCGAGAAATCAAAACGACAAAAAGCGGTCAGGTCCACCAGGGACTGGTTGGTGCCCGATGGAGGGGTCCTGCATGTGGTGGCCTCCAGGCAGACAGGGCTTGATGAGAATGAGGCTGAGGTTGGTGCAGATGCCACTGGCTACCATGGTCCTCGCTTTCATTGCAGAGCTAGGGGGAAGATAGGAAGGGACTCTTGGCAGCGGGGAGCACACTCCAGTCTAGGGCTTCAGCCCGACCTGCCTGAAAAGGCAGAGACCAGTTCTCAAAGATTAGGCCCAGCTGATCGGTGTCTCAGCCCCGGAGTCGTAACTCGGGTCCTCCTGCTGAGGGTGGTTCTGTTGGCAGGATGGCACTGTCTCTGCTGTCTGGTCTCAGTGGTATGGGGCTGCACCCTCTTAGAACACAGGTAATATTATAATGTAGCCAAATGTCCCCGAAAACCTTTTGTTTTGGGATGAGGTCCTGTACGTAGACACCCTTTAAATGAGCAACATACCTATACGCAAGCTGAGAAGAGACTACACCCCAGACTTACAGTAACAGAGGATCCAAAATGAAGGTCAGCTTTGTTCCATTTTTAGTTACCTCTTGCGTGCCTGCAGGCCCTAGTGAAGTCTCACAGCAGAAGTGACTTAATTCTTTGACGTGGCAGAAAAATCCACAAATCCTGCTTTTATAAAAGCGAGTAGCAGGGGCTGGTGAGATGGCTCAGGGGTCTAAAGCACCTATTTAGAACAAGCTTAGCAAAGCACAGGGACC